TGCTGGACCGCCAGACGCCGACGACGACACGTTCCTTGATCTGACGGGACCGACACCGAAGAAGCGCCCCCACAGCGACGGCCAGCCTCCCGCACCACCAGCGCTACCAGCACCCGACCAGCAGCCAGCCATCCAGCAGCACAATTTCGGCAACATCGAGCATCCCGAAGCGAACCAGCGCGCTCATAAGCACGCTGAATGGTTGGCACGCCGCCAAGGAGACGGCGATTTCACAACCAGTGGAGGAGCAAGCGGCAGTGGAGGACCGGCCCCACCGCCTTCGGGAGGAGACGCACAGCAGCCCCCGCCGCTGCCACCGCCAGCGGGCTCGCCGCCACCAGCGGCTGTCGACCCGCCGGCGCCAGCCTCAGACTCAGGCGACGCTGCCGCTCCTGCAGCCACTTCCGCCGCTGATGCCGCAGATATTCGACATCCTGAACCTGCCCCTCAGGGCCCGGTCGACGATGACATCGAGTCCGGTGGCTCGGACATGATTCGAGAATGGGCCAAGATTGCGGAAGAGCAGGCGCGGCAGGAAACGACGTCGCGACGCCCACTGGACACCGAGAACCAGCGCGGCACCAAGACGCAGCGCCAAGTTCAACAGGAGAACGCACCAGTGGCACTGCAACGTGACCGCCAGCACGAGCCGGAACCCCGCGAGCGCGCTGCAAAGCGCAAGGATCTCCTGGACGATCTGCCGAAGTGCTTCAAGCGGCCAAAGGACACGAACAAGGTCGACCTCGACCTAGACAGCTACTTCCAGAAGCACGCGGACGAGCTCTACGCCGCCACGCAAGCACACGACTCCGCGAGGCACTTCTCACGGGCAACGCGACCGCCAAGGAGCTCAAGTACGACGCGCTGAATGCCACCGAGAAGAAGAACATGGACGCCGCCATGGAGACCGAGTGGCCCAAGTGGACGGAGTTCGGCGCTTACAAGAAGCTCCTGCCCAAGGGGCTGAAGGAGCTCCTGCGGCGCAACCCTGGCATCCGCCCTGCGGGCGCGCGCTGGGTGCTGACCAGCAAGGGCCAGAACATCACGAAGGCACGCCTGGTCGCGCAGGGTTGCCAGGAGGACAAATCGCAGATCAGGACGGACGCGCCTGCAGGACGCGTCGTACCTGACCCTGGCCGCCGCGGCCCAGAAGGACTGGGACATCTCGCCCTACGACGCGATGACGGCCTACCTGCAGTCGGGTAGCATTGAGAGGCTACCAGGCCACCGCTGCCGCACAGGTGGACTACGTCGACTTGAGGGCCCACGACTCACCGCCACCGAGGTGACGAGCTACCGCCGCACGCTCGGGCAGCTGGCGTGGCTAGCAGTGCAGACCCGGGTGGACATCGCCTGCCCGGTGAGCTTTGCAGCTCGACGCGCCAACGTCGCTACCGTGGCCGACGCGAAGACGCTCAACAAGACAGTCGCATATGTGCACTCCACCGCGCACTTCGCGATCGTGCTCAAGCGCAAGCTCGTCGACCTGAAGACGGCGATCACCGCGTGATTCAGCGATGCCGCGTTCGCCAACGTGGACGGCGTCAGGAGCCAGTGGGGCATGGTGATGGGGCTCACCCACCGCCCGCGCGACGTCGTCGGCGGCCGGTACGACCTGTGTCTGCCCGTCGCCTGGCACTCTGGCACAGTCAAGAGGTCGGTGAAGTCGACCCTCGCCGCCGAGGGCTACGCTACCCTCGAGGGGTCGGAGACCAACATGTGGTTCCGACAGCTGCTGACCGAGGCCTATAACCCCAAGACGGCGCTCAAGCAGATCGACGTGCTCGCCGACAAGCGCCCTGGGGAGATCTACAGCGACAGCAAGGGTTTCGCGACGCACATCGTTTTAGATGTAGGCCAGTCTACTGACAAGCGGTTCCGCATCGCCGCCTCCATGATCAAGGAGGCCGTGCACCCCAACAGTGCGCTCAAGCTCAACTGGATCCCTACCTGGGCCATGGTCGCGGACGCCTTGGCGAAGACGATGGAGGCTGGCGTCATGCTGTCCTTCTTCCGGGCTCGCAAACATACCTGTGGGACCCGGCAGCCACACGCTGCTATGCTCGCGTCAGTCCTATTCACCTGCCTTGGAAAGGTCAAGGGACAGCCTACGCCCACGCCGACTATGCCGGATTACAGCTTTTATATTGGCCTGTTGGCGTTCACGCTGGTCTTCGGCATGACTATCGGTTTCGGCATCTTCATGACGCTCTGGACGATCCTGAGGCAGAACAACGCGATCGCCAACGAGGAGAGCGCCGCCGAGGCGAAGGCCATGGGTGAGCACCCTGGATGGGACGGCCGCATGCTCGACCGACGCCGCAACATACCACCGACGATTCCACAGGATCGTGACGACGATGGTGACATCACGATGTCCCACGCGGACGTATTCAGCAGCGCACCGGCATCAAGTTCAGTAGCATCGGCTGCGATTCAGCAGCCGCCGCCGCCACAGGTACCGACAGAACCACCACCAGCCAGCGCACCGCCATCACCGTAGACTGCAGCATCAGCACGGGGATCTGGACGATCAAGATCAGTAAAGTCGCAGGGAACTTCGAACCCTGCATCACCAACCGTGGTTTCCGTGACGAGTTCATCGAGTTCCGTTTCAGCCTCATCAGCCAGTGTTGTGTCGTGGAGCGGATCTTCCCCGACGGTGCAGCCGAGTGACATGATCAGTTGCGCGACGGGTATTCCTCATCATGATGTGGTCATCGGCCACAACCCGCATAGTGTATACATCACTTGCAAGACCTGCAAGAAGCACGCTTCGTGGCTGCTTCGGCATTATCATTTTGGAAATCCCGATTTCACGATCTTCCCGGAGAGTGTGATGAATGACCTCAAGGGCCGTTGGTGGAAGCTCACAAGCAAAGATGTTTGGCGGGGATCAAATCAAGCGGACAAACCGGCGAAGCCGAAGAAAAGGTGACCCCGCTTGGTTTGACGGCAGTTTGGCCAATCAGTCCGGACATGTTCTACTGTCTATATGGTACGCCCGGTCAAGATTTATGTTTTCCGCATCGCTGCCTATACTATACGCCCGGTCAAGATTTATGGATTCCGCATCGTTGCCAATACCATACGCCCGGTCAAGATTTCTGCATTCCGAATCGCAGCTTTTACACACGGATAAAGATCCACACGTAACACCGCGTTTTTTTGGAAGCTTGATTCGTTTCAGTGCGCACAGTTTTTATTGTGATGACGATCACACCTAGTATACTGAGAAGATGGCTATATTACTTTTGGGATTTGTCGCATCGCGATCGAACCCTGGCCATTGCTGAGTATACCCTGTATGCTATGTAATACAATGCAAGCCGCTTGCTTGCTTATCTTCGTGTTTTTTGCCGGCGAGTGACTTGTTTGCTATAGTCCCCGCTCAGGCCTGTCAGAGGCCACGACCGACCGAGACGGCGACTAGGAGGAGTGTGATTCAAGCTCACTCCCAAAGGATTTTGTGTTGCATCCCTTGCCCACCGCTGCCGTTTTATTTCGAACTGGGGCCCTTGGCCTTAGAGCTACGCCCCTCGCGAGGCCGCGAGTAAGAAGATCCATCGACAATCTTCCATATCACACCCTCGGCACACCAATGAGAAGCCCACGGGTGGCCACGGGCGGCATCGTAGCGAAACCTCGGCACACATGTATAATTCTTCAGACGCCTGAGCAAAGAGCCCACGAGTGCAAGCACTGTTTGGGGAATCGCACTCCTACCCGAGGTCAACCGCCATTGCATGGAAATGATGCACGCTCGAGGTCCAGTCGCTTGGCCAACCTGTTGGCCCAAGGCTGGCCCATGAGCAACCGAACAGCTCGTTCCAAAACAGAGAGGAAGCTAAAACAGCCGAGCTGTTGACGATGCTGTGCAATGGTCGTTCGTGGCCACCCCCAGGCCATCGGCGTGGCCAAACGATTGCAGCTCGAAATTCGCCGGCCCAACGGGCCAGGGCGTGCTAAGATCTCCGGTACCTGGTTAACAGTATTTCTAGTTCGCGCGCGCGGGGCGGCCCCTGGGGGTCCCCGGACGAAAAGTACCCCGGCAAGGTCCCGGCAAGTCCCCGGCAAGGTCGGGTCAGAGATGCCGGAGTTCTGTTTCGGAGTCCAAGAGGGCTCCAGATCGGTCCAAGAGGGCCCCGAGAAGCTTTCTAGACGGTCCAAGAGAGGCCCGAGACGGCCAAAGATCGCCCGAAGACGCCCCAGATGGCCCCAAGACAGCCCAAGAGGCCTCCAAGACGCTCCAAGGGCCTTCCAAGAGGCCTCCGAAGAGGGCCCCAAGTTGCCAAAATCGTTGATTTTCATGGGTCGGACGCTCCAAGAGGCCTTCAAGACTGCTCCAAGACGGCCCACGAGGCTCCCAAGACGGCCCCGGAGCGGCCCAAGAGCGCCCCCCAGACGGCCCAAGTGCTGCCCAAGGCGGACCAAGAGGCCCCAAGACGGGCCCAAGAGGGGCTCAAGAAGGGAACCGAGAACTGAAAAATCGAGCCCTCCGCCCCAGAAGGCGCCCAGGACCCCGAAAGAGGCCCCAAGAGACTCTCCAAGACACCCCCAAGACGCCCCAATAAGCTCCCGTGAGGCCCCAAGAGGACCAACAACGTCAGGCCCCAGGCCCCAAGAGGACCAACAGATACCGCCAAGAGCCCGCCGAAAGCCCCCCAAGAGACCGTCACGAGAGCTCAGGAGGCCCCCTGGAGGCCTCCCGAGTTCTCCAAGAGGCCTAAAAAAAGGCGCCGAGAGGCCCCAAACGGCCCCACCGAGGCTCCAAGAGGCCACGAACGCGCAAGCAAACGCCTGCGATGGCACAATACGGGCCGGCGGAATGAGCGAAGCGATTAAATGCGCTGAGGCTGGTTAGATGGATCACGCTCCCACGAATATCCGATCGCCTGGGGGATCGGTTCATCACAAGACGGGCGAGTGCCAGGGACAGGGCAAGCTCCCCTTTTCAAATTAGTTCGGGGTGTACAAGGCCCCCTTCTACCCTCCAGGGCTGGCGGTCTGTTGGGCATGTCGCGAGCTAGCGTAGGGGGGCTGTCCCTGGGAGCTCCCAGCCGACTGAGCCGGCATGGAGTCCAACGGTAGCTGCGTGCTGGTTGTCACCCCGCCACCGCCAGTATAGGCGCCTGGAGGCAGCTGGGCTGGCTCCAGGTACACTGCGAACTCAACCTCGCCCTCACCCCCGTTCTTAAGCTTCTCGCGGATGTGCTGCCACTCCATGGGCCGGATCGTCTTCAGGGGGATGGACGTGGTGCCGAGGCTGTTGTCCCCACGGAGCACGTTGTTCTCGTTCATGACCTCGATATCTAGTTGCTTGTCTTTTTTCCCTATTGAAAACGTGAACGGATTGTCGTGGGGCCACTCGGGGTTCAGATTATCGTTGATGGTCGGCGTCCTGTGCGTGGTCTTACCGACCTTGCAATTCACATAGGGGTCGGAGTAGTCGCCCATCAAGCCGGTGTCCCTGTTCAGCAAATTGCTCGCTCTGTATACTACAACGTGGAGATTCGCGCCGCCCAGCGATCCATCGCTGTCTTGCTGGACTGCCCCAGACTGATGTGATACCCCTGCTGGCAGCATCATTTCGGGTGACTGCATCGTTCCTAGCGGGCTCCAAACATACCCGAACCTCTCGAACCCCCCTTTCTTCGATGAAAATATCGGGGTGAGGGGACTTCGGTATGTTTGAAGCCCTCAGGTTCCAGGCTGCTGCATCGACCCGGGCGGCTTCATGCCGCTAGGCGGCGCTGCCCCGGGCAGCAACGTCCCGGGCGGTACGGTCTCGTATGGCACCGCCCCCCCGTGCACGTCGCCCTGCATCTCGGCGAAGTGCGCGCCGCTGTGGCCGCACATGCCACTGCCGCCGTCATAGCTCGTCGGCGGGGCTTGCGAACCACAGCCGCCAGGAGCGGGATAGCTCGTCGGCGGGACTTGCAAGCCGCAGCCACTCGGAGACGGCGCCAGGTTGCCGCAGCCCGCTGCAGCGGCGGTGAGGGGGGGGCCACCAGTGGGGAGGTGGCCGACCGCTGCTGCGCCCCCAGGGGACTGCCCAGGGCGCAAGCAGACGCTGAACTCAAGCTCACCTTGGCCCACGTCCAGAAGCGGCTGGTACAGCCGCCTTGTCTCTCCGGGCCTCAGCGTCAGGAGGTCCACGCTTGTGGTGCCTAGGCTCTGGTCTGCCCTCATAGTGTTAGAATTGAACACCTGGAGCTCCAGCGTCTTGTCTTTCTTCCCCAGCTGAAAATTAAACTGGTTGTCTGTGGACCAAGATGGATTCAGATTATTGTCTACCGTCGGTGTCTGGTGCTTATTCTTGCCGACCTGGCACACGACGTAAGGGTCCGAATAGTCGCCGAATATCCCGGTGTCTCTGTTGAGCAGGTTGCGAGCCCCGTGCACAATGACCTGCAGGGTCGCACCAGGTTGCGGCCCGCTTGCCGAGGATGGCTGCTGCCCAATCGCGGGGTGGTCCATGGGTGCCATTGGCGAATGATGCGCGGAAGTCAGCGGCTGCTCGTGCACTGATACTGGCCGCTCTGGTGCGTGGTCCTGCTCCCATGCAGTTCCTACCTAATGGGGGCGCAGGGCCCAGAAACAATCCAGATAAGAGACCAGACCCGTCGAGGCTGGCTGCTCTCCAGTTGGACTGGGCATGGTCTGCCCGGTTGCTCCTGGGGCCCTTGGCCTTTAACGGGGCAGGAACGGCACGGTCCTGGTCCGACGGACGCAGCAGGCAAACGTCGAACTCCAACTCACCCCCGGGACCACCGTGCAGGGGCTCGCGGAAGCGCTGCCACTGGCCAGGGGAGATGCCACGCAGGTCCAGACTGAGACGGCCAACATTCACCTCGAGGAAGCCAGCCTTCTTATCCACCTCCAGCTCCAGCAGAAAGTCATGCCTCTCAGGTGGGATCGAGTGACGACGGAGCCGAGTGAGGGTGGGACGACCAGCCCGTCCAGGGGGGCCGCTCGCCCACTTGCCCCGGAGACCTGCGCTCCCTGTACGGGCAAGCGTCAGGGGTGGCCCAGACGCGTGAAAGCACCAACGAGACTGTCCTGTACACTGTATGTTGGAGGTATTCTCACAATGAAGGCGTGTTCCAATTCACTTGTCCCACTGCAGGAAGACCTGCTCACCACTTGTATCTGGCGACGCGAAGCACGACTCTGCACGCGACACGCAACACCACGTCGGGCCTCAGGCCAAGCACCGCACTGCACGGCACCACTGCTCCGCTGCCCGCAAGGGTGTCCGTGCATATCGGATCTTGTAGCCCGATGGAAAGCCTCACATGGCACCACTGGCACCGCTGACCAGCACCACTTGATCAAATTGTCGCATAAGTTCGATCGGACACTAGATACAACATGTTTGCCAGCGTGAAGCCCAAGCAGTGAGTGCTCGCAGGTGGAAGCTATGTGGTGGAGGCTATGTGGTGAAAGCTGTGTGGTGGAAGCTACATCTTTAAGCGCAAGCTCCGTTCGAGGAATTGTAGCATCGCATTTTCTAAAAAATCGGCACCATGCCTCCACGTAGTGGAGTGTCCCACGGCGCATACAATTCTGAGAGGTCACGCAGTTCTGAGAGGAGGGCCCAGAACACTAAATGCCCATGCTCTCTTGTGCGCTCTTGGGTGTGGCCGGGCGCTCTCAGGGTGTTCGGCGTAGGCCTCTGGGTCGGTGCCCACCCAGGGAGGCCCCAAAACGGACCAAGACAGCCATGAGAAAGTCCCAGGAGGGTCCAAGAGGCCGCCGAGACGGCCCAAAAGCTACCCAAGACGCCCAAGGCGGCCCCAAGACGGCCGAAAAAGCCTTCGAGACGCCCCAAGAGAGCCTCAAAAGACTTTCCAAGAGAGCTCCGAGACGCCACAATATTGATTTCTGGTGTTCAATGTGCTTTGGGTTCTCACTTTTCGAGCTTCTGACGCTACGAGACGTCCCAGGAGAGCCTGAAGATGGCCCAAAGAGGGGCCCAAAAGGGGGAACACGAACTAAAAAACGAGCCTTCGTCCCCAGGAGGCACCAAGAGACCTCAAAGAGACCCCAAGTGGCCCCCAAGAGGCCCCCAAGAGGCCCCAAGAGACCCAAAAGAGGCCCCCGAGGGGCCTCAAAAATGCCTCCAGGAGGCCCCCGAAAGGCCCCGACAAGATCTCGACGAACATCCAAGAGGCCTCAGGCCCACAAACCAGACACGGTGGCGGGATGGGCTGAAGGCCATTAGATATTAGCCAGCGTGGACTCCAAAGGGAAAGCTTGTGCACTGTGGATGCGCAAGCTTTGTGATACAATCTGCGTGGGGCACTTTATGGGGTGCAACCTCGACGGATCCACCAAGCGCGGAGGGCGGCAACGAGGCGGCATCAAGCGGCGACTCGGCGAGACCTCGACGGACCCTCCCAAGTGGGAGAGGTAGCAACGAGGCGGCAACGGGCGGCGACGCGGTGACATCTCATCGGACCTCAAAGGGACGGCAACGAGGCGGCAACGAGGCGGCAACGAGGCGGCAACGAGGCGGCGACGCGCGAAATCTCGACAGACCCCCCTAAAGTGGGCGGCAACGAGGTGGCAACAAGGCGGCAACGGGCGGCGACGCGGCGAAACCTCGACAGACCCCCCCAATGTGGGCTGCAACGAGGCGACGCGACACCGAGGCGGCAACGGGCGGCGACGAGGCGAAACCTCGACGGACCCATCCAACTTCTAAGGAACGAAAGGGAAGAACAAGCGCAATCACTGCCTGGGGAATTCCAATCCAAGAATGTTGGCAGGAGGGTCTAGGGACAGCTTCCCCAACCATGGGACAATTCTTGTGGAGATCGCCTTTCGTCGACTGCAGCCACCGCGATGCACGAATGGCCTCCCAAGCCTACTGGAACCCAGAGGACGACAATGGGGCGTCGAAACTTGGGGAGCGACCCCCCGTGCTGCTCCAATCGCCCTGCCCGCACTAGAGACCGTCGTCAAAGAGGCCACGTGCCTCCCAGGCCGGAACACGAAGTTGTTGTCTCGCTCCCAGATGGGCGAGCTGGGGTCGGCCATCACAAAGGCGGGCCCAGTGCGCTGCCGGTGCTGGCCCACCTGGGTGGCCAGCGGCTCTGTCCGGCAGAGGCGCAGGCGCAGGCGCGCAGGCGGCGGCAGCGGCGGGGGCAAAGGCAGGCGCAGTCGCAGGACAGGGGCGATGAGGGCAGGGCGCCGGGGCAGACGAGGGGCACGGGCATCGGCAACGGCGGACGCAGTGAGGCAAGGGCGAACACGGCCTGGCAATCATGTTTGTGGCCGGCCACCTTGGTGGTCGCGTACGTGTCGGCTGGAGCGTCCCTCGGGGCCCCCGGGGGCACCCCGAGCCCGTATGCGCCGTGCACGACGACGTGCAATGTCTGGGCCGACCCATCAGCGCCAAGTGGGGACGACAGGCCGAACCACTGTTGGCCACCGCTGGAATGAGCCAGCACACCAGTCGTAGCCTCTGGGCTGGTGGTCTCGAAGTACCGTCTGCGCACCGCAACGTCCTCCTGCGTGAGCTCTTGCTGCACTCTTCTGGTGCGGCACTCGAGCTCCAGGGCGTGCGCCTGCTTCTCGAGCTCCAGGTTTCTGCGCGTCGCCTCCTACAGGGCCGATGGCGTTTCTACGACAACGGGAGAGAGGACTGGCGAGGGAGCGTGATCTACCGCTGCTTGACTGGAAGAATGCCGTCCCCCTTGGACATTGGGGGCGGAGGGGCGCAATCCCGCCAGCCTCCTGGTCATAGGTGATTTAGAAAGTCTTGTTTTCTCCCCCCCCCTCGGCGGAGGGGTTTGTTACTGTAATGCAAAGTAAGGGCACAAGGCTTGACCATGAGGTGATAAGCTCAGAACCCTACTCTGAGGACAACGTCGGCGACGCATCTAAGCATCCCACATCTCGTCCTTCGATGGCAAGCAATACAAGAGGACAGAAAGAAGCCATGCGCACGCTGCAAAGAAACAACGCACACCATTAACCACACTTGAGTGATCAATGCATGCGCCAAGGCGCCACGTAAACTGATGAGCACGTCGGGAACGGTCTTCGTTGTCTTTTCTTCTGCCACAGCACCCGTAAGTTCTACAAGTTGTATTGGGCGAAGCTGTTTGATGCATTCATCTTGTCCTAGCTGGACTCTGCCATCCTCAGTCTCAGTGCATCGCGCGGCGCAGTTGGTTTAACAGCCTTATCAGCTTGCACGCGCCTAGCGTAGTTTCTACACAGTTGACCACCACCACTACCACAAACCACCACCGCCTGAACCCACCACCTCCACCACCAACCCAACACACAACCACCACCACCACCACAGCCACCACCACCACCACCACAAAAACCCACCACCACCAGTCTTCCACTTCTTTGCTTTTAATAATTAAACACCCCCAAAACCCCACCCAGCCGGCCGACATCAACCCCGCCGTCCTAACTGACAAAAAAAACAACTCCAAACCAATTTTTTTCTCGCCAACATGTCGTCGAGATGCGGACAGTGCAGCACGAACGGGACGGAATGAACATCGCTTGGGGGCCCTTAGCGGGTGGTCGCGCCCTGCCCATCCAAAAACAATACAAACTCAACGCTTTTCTCGAGAATATGGACTTCCTTGTCGTCGACGCTGCGACAAGTGTAGCAGGAACGGGACGCGGCGCACGTCGCGCACGGACGCCTGGCCAACCGTTCGCGGGACCCCCCGTCCTACCGCAACGTCGACGTTTTCCTTGCCAACATGTATTTTCTCCTCGCCGGCGCTGCGAATCGCGAAACGGGAATGGGACGTGGCGCACAGTGTGCGGGGACGCCTGCTTGTGAGCATGGACTTTCTTGTCGTCGACGCTGCGGCCCGTCGGGCTGAGGAGCTGGGCGGGCGGCAAGTCAGAATGCTTCAAGCAAGTGCGGCAAGTGCGGTTCGCCGCCGGCGCGCCCGTTGTCGTGCCCACGTAAGAGAGACCTCTCTTCCTCTCCTCCTCCTCCTCCTCGTCCTACCCCTCCTCCATGCGCGGCAGGAGCGAAACGATTGGCGGTACAACGCGCGCAGCTGGAATGACACGCGGCGCACTTCGCGCGCTGGACATGCTGTCGCCGACGATGCAACATGAGAGGCCGGAGCGGGGCGCGGCGTACATCGCGCGCGTCCTTGTTTCTCGTCGGCGTTGCTCAATACGCGGCTGCAATAGCACGCAGCTCACGTCGCACGCTGAAGGTCTAGCCGCCCACGACATAAGATGAGCGACAAGCGTCGGACGCGACGCACTTGCTTCTTATGTTGTGGGAGGGCGGGTGGGAATGGACGGAGCCCCCTGGCTCGTTCGAGATGGCTAACTTGACCACCACCACCACCGCCACAACCACCACCACTACCAGCAGCACAACCCACCACCACCACCACAAACCACCACACCACCACCACCACCGCCACCACCACCACAACCAACACCACCTCCACATATCACCGGCACCACCGCAACTCACCACCACCACCACACCACCACCACACCACTACCATACCACCACCACCACCACCACCACCACCCACCACTGCCACCACCACCACCACCACCACAAACCACCACCAAACCACCACCACCACCACCACCCACCACCACAACCACCACCACCTCAACAAACCACCACATCACCACCACAACCACCACCACCGCCACCACCACCACCACAACCCACCACCACCACCACCACCGTCGTCCTCGTTAACGCTCCCAGCCGCCGCCGCCCGCCGCCGAAGGCGCTGGCGCCGACCCAGAAAAAAAAATCGTCGTCCCCGCCGCCTCCGCCAGCCGCCGCCGACGCAGGCGCCAGCCCGAAGAGAGGGAGAGCGGAGAAGTAGGGGAGGGAGGGGGGGAGGGGGGGGGGGGCCCTCCATCCAGGGGGGGGAGGGCGGGTCCGGTTCCAAATCCCCCCCCCTCCAAACGGCCACAGAACACGCTCTTTCAGAGAAAGAAGAGAGGGGATGGGGCAATAGACGACCATAATGGGGCGGGCGTGGGCCACACGAATTCAATTCACAGCCCTTCTCCTGCGCCAGCCGGTTTCGCAGCTCGCTGCAGCGGGCGTTCGCCTGCAGTTCGAGCATCTGCACTTCCTGCTCGATGGTGCAACAGAGGTGTTTCTTCTGCTGCTCGCAACGGGCGCGCAGGAACCTGCCACACCCGCTCCCCTCGCCCATCTCACCGTTCCCTCCGCCTCCCCCTCATCACCCTTCCTCCTTCCACATTCCATGCCCATCCCATCTCTCCATCTCCATTCGTTCCCCCCCTCCTCCTCCTCCTCCTCCTCCTCCTCCTCCTCCTCCTCCTGCTCCTCCTCCTCCTCCTCCTCCTCCTCCTCCTCCTCCTCCTCTCCTCCTCCTCCTCCTCCTCCTCTCCGCCTCCTCCTCCTCCTCTCCCCTCCTCCTCCTCATCCTCCTCCTCCTCCTCCTCCTCCTCCTCCTCTCCTCCTCCTCCTCCTCCTCCTTCTCCTCCTCCTCCTCCTCCTCCTCCTCCTCCTCCTCCTCCTCCTCCTCCTCCTCCTCTCCTCCTCCTCCTCCTCCTCCTCCTCCTCCTCCTCCTCCTCCTCCTCCTCCTCCTCCTCCTCCTCCTCCTCCTCCTCCTCCTCCTCCTCCTCCTCCTCCTCCTCCTCCTCCTCCTCCTCCTCCTCCTCCTCCTCCTCCTCCTCCTCCTCCTCCTCCTCCCAAGCCCCTTTTCCTTCCGTTCCTCTTCGCCTCTGTCCTCTGTCCCACTCAAGTTGCCCCCCCAGCTGACTGCCCCCCCCTCACTCCAGGGCCGCCGCATGCCGGTGCGCCAGCAGCGCCTCCTGCTGCTGGACCTGGCTCGAGCAGCAGGGGACCAACCCCGGTCCCCGACAACAAAAAAACACCACATGCCCAAAAAGGCGTTTAGAACCGTGAAGTCCCCAAGCGGTGCATGCACGAAGTCGTTGCTACCTGTGGTCTGAGAGCTGGATTGACATGTTTGGTTTTCTGGTCGCCGCCACAGAATCCTGGCCATAAAATGATTCTGAACACTGTTCGGGCCCCACACGCTCGTATAATAGAACATTAAATTCAATCATCGTCCGGCTTTTCCTCCCCCTTCCGCATCCCACCTCCCGTTCCACTTTCGATGATTCCGTTGGCTGTGGAGCGAGGAGTACTTTCAGTCGGGTGGACCTGTGCGTCGAGGTCGCGCAAGTACGCCACCTCCGCGGCCGATACCACGCGGTCAGAGGGGCTCCCAAAGCACGCAGACCCTCCTCCCCCCTGTGCGGCGCGAAGCTGACGTCACTGACCGCATGCATTCCTCAAAACAAAGTTGCTCAGATGTGCCCCTCACCATCCCAACATCGAAATCTGTCCTGTTCAATCATAAAAACCCTGCGCAAAGATCATGATAATCCCCCTGTGAGTGAACTGGAAGACTCCCCCATGAAGCGCTTCAGTCGATTCGGTCCTCAGTTCTTCCACAGAGCTAGATCCGCATACCCACAGGCTTCGAAATTTCCGTTGCCACTCATCCAGAAAATATCGTGCATCTGCATGCAAAAATCAGCTGGCTCCCCTGAAGGGCCACTAGGCTGCGAAGGTTCGGTTTCTATTCCATGCAACTAATCCTCAGTTACTCAGTTCAATGTCCGTTCCAATGCCATTCCTCTGGTCCAAGGTGCCATAATCCATTGTCCCTCATTCCAAGGTTGGGAAGTTGCAGAACGCGCGACCCTCCCCCCCGGCCTGAAATAATCCATTACTGACGCTAAAACGCCCCAAGGGGGGCCTAAGACGGCACAGTGAGGACCAAAATGCCCCTCAGAGGCCCCCAGAATTCCCCAGGAAACACCAAGTGGGCCCCAAGAAACCAAGAAGCCTCCACTAAGAAACTCCTATAACTCCTTCCTATGGCACCCCCAGGCGTGTCGGCAGGGCGGGCCGGACGTTTCGCCTGAGACTTCCTGGCCACTTACGATCCTGAAACTCAAATGTTTCAACAGTTTCACGAGGGCGGACCGTTTTCGAAATCTGGTTCTGACCTTGGCACCGCGCACATTCGTCTTCACGCTGGTCGGATCTTGGACGCGCTGCGAAGAGACAACATATACCATTAACCACACTTGCGCGGAAAGGGCGTAGGCCACAGCGCCTCTGAGGCTGACAAACATGTCGGCACCCATCTTCGACGCCTTGGCCTCAGCATGGCACCCGTGAGTTCACGATGCCGGATAGGACGGAGCTGTTTGATGTACTCACCTTCACCAATGCCATCGCTGCCCTTCGCATACCCCACGGCGCACTTCGCATGCGCGCGTTTGTTGAGTTCACATTCCCCAAAAGTATCCTCAACACACTTGACGCACTAGTCAATGGCGTCCTCGGTACTTGCCATGTTTATGTCATCAGAATGATTGGCCGCAAGAAGGTCAGAGCTTGCCGCGAACTCCTTGTCGTAGGACGCGGGTTGAAGACCACAACCTCTCGTGGTCTTCCTGAGCTTCAATGAGATGGCTCGCGGTGCATCCGTCGCACCAATGCCTGGTTCGAGGCACTGTAAACAGTGTCTCGACCCATCACTGCTCAAACCCTCGGTGGCATCTGAGCACTGATGCTGAACCGGGTGGCAATGCAAAGCATACCACGCGTTCCTTTTCACCGATTGCTTCAGCAAGCTCCTGACAAGTAAGTCCCCTCAGGCAAGCCATGCTGATGTCGAAGGAAGCAATGATCCACTGCTCCCTGCACGCTGCCGCGCTGGCGAGTAGTCGCCGACTCGACCGCCGCGCTGCCCCTGAGAAAGTTTCCACATCGAAAGCTTCGAGGTCAATGAAAACCCGAAGTACCATGCGCAGTCTGATGGCACGTCCCATCTCGCCTTTTCGTCCCTGGCGAACGCCCATTCCTATGCGCACTTCGACGTCATGGTGATTGACGCCGTGTATATATATATATACATAGATATTATGTTGCAAGACTTGTTGTCAAACTATGCCTTTGGATCAGTATATAGGGCCGTCGACGCCTTGACTGGATTCGCCTGGATGACTGCCTTCGTGAGAAGGTCGTGCTACTTGACGACGACAGCTCGTTGAGCTGCAGCGGCCACATATACCCGCATAGTGGTCACAAGCAAAGTGTAAGTCCCATATTCCGCGCTGTTGTTCGGATAAGACTACCTTTGACAGTTTGCCGTAAAAAAGAATTCTAAGTATTGTCCGTGCTCGTCAGAGTCCAATCCGCGACTATCAGCTTCGCCCGTAGAACGCAATGGAACATGATATGTCTCGGTTGCGCCTACGTCCTGCAGGCAGGTGCCCCCGCTGTTCTTCAGACACTGTGACCAGCACACTGTTGTCACTGATCAGCTGTGCGAGCACAGCTCGTCCATTGGAGTTGCCTCCCATAGTTTCCTGTTCGTCTTGTAGTGGTGCACCGCAATTCCATAATGTGTGCCTCGAGGTCCGCCTCTGATTCCTGATAGATGGTGGGCAGCCGTCCATCTTCCTGTGGTTGTTCGATTTCTGGGGCCCCCCTAGGGTCGTTGCCCTGCATTGGCATGTCGGCGAGTTCTTCGAACTTCGTGATGTCAGACTCGAAGCCCGCTTGAAGTTTGGTGGACTTCAGGCACTGGGTGATTCTTGAGCGTGCTGATCCACTTGTCTTGAATGTTAACGGCAGTGTCTCCGACTTCGTAGTTGTGGAAGCCTGGTATCACGTCGTCGTCATAATGCAGTGCATAACTTCCAGCATACGTCACCGGAGGTTGCTTGCGAACGCTCTTGGCGAACCTGACAGAAACTACGTTTTCAATACGAATGACGCTCCTGATCAGGTGCTGACAAGCTAGTAAAAGTACCTTCGGAAATAGTCGGCTCGCACTCGTCATCTGGAGTACTCAGTTTTTGGTCGGGGGGTATCCGAAGGTCATAGCAGGCCGCCCCGCAGGTGGACTGGCTACAAATGCCCACGCAGTTCGTCACGCTGCGTTGCCCGAGCCAACCTCCCGAGCGATCAGAGCTTCAATGCACAGTGAATGTCGTGCGTCACTGCACTGGACTGACACGTCGCGATTCCCAAATGTCATGACAATGCGATCCCTGTCGGGATCATTCCGCGCGACCGGGAAGGGCCCATTCCAGCCTCCCCAGTCGTCTTTCGCAATGGTGGGACGATGATAATCAACCAGATCTCCGTCATAGTAATGCTGACCAGTCATAGTCGTCTTGGTCCGTAGTGCACGGTTCGTCTTCGCTATTGCAGCGGCTTGAGTAATAGCCTCAATGCTTACCCGGCAGATAATCAGTTCTCCAAAATGATCGGATGTCTCCGTCTGCAGTTCATGGTCCAGAAGAGGCAAGTCGGGTAGCATCGCGGGCTGTCGGCCGAACAGTGCGTTGCATGGAGATACCTGCTTGTAGAGAGTAAACGCATTGGCGGCGAACAGAGCCTCACGCAATACTCGGGTGAACATAAAGGGTATGTCTAACCTGTTGAGTTCACCCTCCACAACGTGAAGTGCGTGTCGTAATACACCACTTCTGGCTTTAATGGTCGTAGCGCGTTGACCGCGCGCACGCGTCCTCAGCTCAGCGCCTTTTGCCTTAAGGACTGCCTTTGCTCTGTCTTTAGTGAGAGCACCTTCTCCAACAGAGTAAAATACGTCGGCAGGTTTGAATTGCATCCAGCACTGGTGGCACGCGTCTACGATTGCATTGGGCCGTCACCGCTACACCCTATAGGATAAGGAAAACCCGATTCATCCTCCAAAAAAACCTGCATGACAAATTGTTAGACACATGAGTGCGGATCGTTTCAACGAAAAACGCCCCGAAAAATGCGCTGCATGATTGTAGGTTCGTTGGTGCACGTGGACAGGCGGCTCTGCGCACGATACCGACGTGCCATGATCACGCAAACGCAAGCTACAGTGTCCGAATTCTACAAGAACACCATTCCCGCTACGCAGATCGAAATGTCCACGCCGAAAGCAAGGAGTGCATCGATGGAAACGCAGCCTGTTGCATGCCATGCTATCGCCAGCCTCGATATCAACTATCGCTCACGAATGTGTTCATTGATTAACCGATACGAAAGCACACATTTCTCTTTCGAAGAAGCGCGGCGCGTTGCGTAACCTTGTGGGTCGCGTAAATAATAGCAAATCTTAACCCGCCAAGTGGCTCCAAAACCTTAGAGCCCGCCGTTGGAATGCCCGTGCACCATGCAAAACGGACCCGAAAGTGACGACTATCCCAGAAAGGCTGGCCGATAACTCTCACCCCGCATCTAACCTCAGCAGACACGGCGCGCCCAAACGAGCGCCAAGATGCGCGCCAACGGGGCACCGACGGATGGCCCCAATATGGCCTCATGAGGGCGCCAGGATGAGCCCAAGCCACACCCCTTGAACTCCCGAGGGCGGCCATTGCCATTGTTTGGCAATGCGGGCCAAAGTTGGGGCCCTCATGGAGACCCCATTCGAACCCTCCCCGGCCCCCCCCGGGCCCATCCCAGACGGCTTGGGGGGGCGCCAGGCGGGCCCCAAAGCGACCCAAGACGGGCCCCAGAGAGCCCCGACCGCTATGAGATTGGGCACGCTTCTCCTGGCTAAATGCCAAGCGCGTTTCGCCCGATGGCATAGTTGCAGTGGCCAAGGCATTGTTGGGAAATTTCGGCGCGAACGGGGGGGGGTCGGGAGGGGGGTCGAGCGACGCGGAAAGGACGGGGGAGCGGGGGGGCAGGCGAATGCGGGAGCGGTGGATGGGGGAGGGGGGGGTCGCAACGAGGGGGAGGTAAGGCGGGGCAGAGTGGTCAGCGGCTAGAGGTTGGGGCGGGCGCAGGGGGGGCGGGGGGCGCGGCGCGGCGAACGCATGTTTGGCGACGAGGGCACCACGCAAGATGAGCGACGAGAGGAGCAGGTGGAGGAGGTGCTTCAAGATGCCGATCGGGCAAGGGATGGGCCCTTGGGGCCAATTCGGGGCTTTCGGGTGCCGCTTAGGAGGGGCGCCATGTTCTGGGGCGCGCTCGGCCCAACGGCACATCCCATGCGAGGCCCCGTTGCGGGGGGGGGCGGAGGAAGGCGAAATGGAGGGTTGCGTTTTTGTTTTGGGTGGCGGTGGACGAGGGGAAGGGGGGGGCGACGCGCAAGACCATTCGAACCCAGCAGGAAGAGATCGCTCAGCTGACTGACCCCCACCACCTCGCGGCGGGCCACC